ACAGCAAACATTCCTCCCACCTCCAAGGTATGAGCAGCTTTCTGACTGTCAACATAGACCTGCCTTTGGCTTAGGCTTCAGGTGAGATGGGGCTTTTCTGTGCCCTAGCACTGCCCCTCCAAGGCAAACTGGGGAGGCAATCAGACTTGGTGCACGTTTACCGATGATTGTGCATCTGGTGACGGTCAGTACAGGCCACAGCACCTGCTGAGGGGCTATTTGAGGGTCATGAGATGTTCCTGTGTGATGGAAGATGCTTAGAGCAGAGTTACTTATAGTTCATTTGCTCTTAGACAGCCAGGAAATCAGGCAGCAATGTGCAGGGCCCTAGCGATGTAGATATATATAATGAAGCTGTGCCATATGCTCCTTTCAGAATTCCTATCATTTTCCATTTACTTAATTTAATATGCTTGGCATAACATAGAATATATACCCAACATACTGACATTCACAGCAGATACTTCCAGCAGAATAAAAGGTCTCAATATTGTCCACAGAAGGAGTCAGAGCCTGTCTTTACTCAGCTAAAATAACCATTTACATTCCAATGAACATTCTGTTTCTTGGTGAGGAACATGAAAAAAGGCCATCTATTTATATGTTAGCCTAATAACCATCCTTCTGTCACTAAGACAAGTGAGCTTGAAACTGTTTCAAAATTTTCCTTTTTTTTCCTCTGATCCATCATTATTTCCAGAATAATAATAAAAACACTTAATACTTAAAAGCATATATTTAAAATCCTGTCTTCTTAAGGGATTACACTTAAATGTCACTTCTAAAAAAAGACATATCTAATTTCACCATTGTCTCTCTGAAAGGTTAAGTACGTGGAGAAAAATTAATGCTTATGTTGATGTACAGATTATCTGTCTTGTCATTCAGTTTGATATTTTTCACAGACTATTTCAATGAATGACAGATAAATTGCAGTTACAACTGATTTCTGGATTTTCCCTCAAGAAAAAGGAAATAGAGGGGTTAAATTGCCTCAGGAGTTATAATTGCAAAACATTTTTAAGGGCTGGAGATTTTTGTCATAGGCATGTATTTATGTTTTGGGGAGAGAGCAAAGTCTATGGCACATAGTAAAAATTTGTTTGTTAATATGTAAGTCTTGAAAAGCAATGACTTTTTTGATAGAAATAGCTTAATGCTCTCTAAAACTCCAGACAGGCCTTCACATGCCTCATATTTATGCAGACATGACTGACTTAAAGCTTGAACGACACAATTTGCATTTTTCCTCTCAGGAAATACTGTGTTAGTGCTCAGGACTGGAGTCTTGGCGGTGCACATTAAGATGCATAGGGAAAGTCCCCAGCTCTCTGGGATTTGTGTGGGGGAATGTTCTCCCACAGTCATTCCCAAAGACTAAACTTATGTAAATAAACTTGCATCAAGTTCTTCCACCTCCACTTGCCCCACTCCAGCTTATATATGAAGTGTCTTTCCAGTCAGATTATATTTATTCCATACAAGACCTTCTGACTCACCATGGTGTAATGACTGGATTTGTGACTGAGGGAAGAGCAGTGGATGTTTGCAGGGATTTTAGCAAGGTTTTTGATAGAGGCTCCCAGGGTTTTTGCACCAAATTTGGGCTAATATGGTCTGGATGGGGAGGTTAAAGCCTGGTTAGATGAAGAGGCTCAGAGGGTCATGTTTCACTGGTCATGCAGTGGGTGGGGTATCTACATGTCTGTTCTGGAACCTGCCCTGTCCAATGGCTTTACCAGTGAAGGAGTGTGCTCTCACCAAGTTTTCAGACACCAAGCTGAGAGGATCAGGCAATATGCTGAGGTGTAGGGCTGCCAGCCATAGGGCTGAGACAATCTGCAGGAATGGCACAACAGGAACCTTATGAAATTGAACCAGGACAAATGCCAAGCCATGCACACGTGAAGGAACAGGACCCTGCAGTGATGTTGGCCAGGACTTACTGAGCCTGGTGAAAGGATGGCTGTGGGGACACACAATAACCCAAGAGATGCCACCCAGCACCCATAGGGAGGTGGCAGGAGATGGAGGTGAGCTCTTCTCTGTTATTCTCAGTGGGAGGATGAGAGACAGTCATCGTTAATTGAAAAAAGTGATCAATTATAAGGAAAAGTCATTCCTTCTTGGGAGAGTCAGGCAGTAGCACAGGCTGCTCAGAGATGATGTGCATCTCCATCCTAGGAGGTTTTCAAAATTGGGTGAGATAAACTCATAAGCAACCTGTTGCAGCCCTGTGACTGATCCTGCCTTTGGTAGGAGGTTGGACCACAGATCTTCTGAGGTTGTTTCCCAACTGAATTATCCTGTTGTCCTAAAACAGCTTCTTATAATGAACAGTAGTCTGCGATTACAGGACTTTTTTCTACATATATATAGCTCCTGTATTAGTTGGGAGTGGCAGATGAAACTTGCAGCTCCCAGAGTATTTTTTGAAGTGGACTAAGACCTCTGGGTGGTCTGGAACACAGGAAGTGTATAATCACCAAAGAAAGAGATTTTGCAATAAATTTCCAAATATGTTTGTTGGGGGAAAACTACTTAAACAGATCTAAAACACAGCTTGATAAATTTATGAACAGGATTATGGAATACAATTGCCAGCAATGGCAAGGAAAAAATTCAGTGACCTAGGACTGTGTGCAGGCTTACCTCTTTTGTTTAGACAAATGCAAGGCCAAGATCCTCATCTTCAAGAATACATAAAAGGGAAATTAAACACGGTAAATATTGTAAATATTTCATTGACACTCCGGACTGTGAAATCGAAAACAATCTCTTGCCAGTTTGAAGTTATTAGAGTTTGTAGCTGTGAGGCTTGATAACCATGATAATAAATGGCATTTATATTCTAGTGCAAAATGGATATCAGAACCAAAATGCACAAATATGGACAAACCTAATTAGGCTGTGATTGCTTTATTCATACCACAGCAGCTGAAGGCTATATGATAAACCGCTTCAAGGCAGATGCAGCATATGTCATTGGATTGATTATTAAAAATTGGCATTTTATTCAAGCCCAAACTTAAAAAGGAGATTGTATACAAATTCAGTCATGCTATAATGGTATTGCATCGCAACAAAGCCCTAGTTTTCTTCATGAAGTAATTGTATAGTTCCAGTTTGTCGATAAATCAAGCCTGAACCCAAACACAGGAAGAATCTAAAAAAAGTCAAAGTGCTCTTCATGATGCACAGTCCAGGATATACTTGCAAGAGTCAAATGTGGAATAGTAACACACATATTTATAGCCAGGTCACAGAAACTTTTTATAGCCAACCACATTTTCAGTGGAAGGAAAGGCATGTTTCCACAGTAACGCAGTGTACAAAGGCAGCATGTTTTGATTGAGATACACCTGCCAAAGATCTGACTGCAGTCAGGGGAGCCACAGTCAAAGTTGTGTTTATATCTCCTTCAGTTTTAATAAAGCAGCAATCCACAACTCTAGCAGGTACATTTCATTCTTACTGTGAGGATATATGGGGTGCTGCTGACCTCCTGCAGGAGCTTTGGGTATGGTCCTGAGTGCTCATAAGAAGGGATGAGCCTTAAAACCTGGAATCTAGAGGGAAGAGCTCCTGCTTCATGCTGCTGCTACAGGAAGACCGTGCAGGGAGGCAAATCCCCACAGCATGGCTGGTGTGCTCCTCAGCAGAAGTGTAGTCAGATGAGATGGAGCTATTATGGGCTAATCTGGGAGCGTTAAGGTACAATTTTGTTTTCACTGCACAGCACCATAAAGCAAATAAACAGTGATTAGCCTATAATAAAAATCGATAAAATTCCATTGAGTGATATCAGGATTGATCACTGTAAGCTGACATTGCTATTTCCACATTCCTCCAAAAATCTGCCCAGTGCAATGTACAAAGCAGAGGCATGATGCCAGATTTGTTCAGCTCTTGAGTGTTATTAACCATCAGAATTGCAACTGAAACATAGATGGCAACCTAAATATACACAACAGAAATATAATACTGGGAAAACAGGATCAGAAAAACAAATTTGAAAGGGAATAACATTATTTTAGTTATGATTAAATAAATTGATTATGAGCTTAATTTATTAAGTTCACATTGCTTTAAATGAAGAAAATAAAAGATTGATTTTAAAGTTTTTTATGTACAGTGCCAGTGTCCTGTGCTGAGAATGTTGCCTGGTAGGTATTTAATCAGAGCTATTGGTATTAAGGAAGTAAAGGCTTATTTCAGTTGGCTAAACTGGGATATACAGTTTTGTGTGAAATTCTGAGTCCGCAGCAGCCAGGACAAAATGGGGAAGGTCTTGTTGAAATCCCTCAGGACATCTGACTGCAGCAGGAAAAAATGTGGAATACGCCAGAATGTCTCCAGTGGCAGTAGATGTCTATCTTCAGGCAGTGTAACTGAACCTTAAATGTGTCTGTGTTTTACAGGGTAAAAGCATAGAGCATGGTTATAGAAGTTGTGAGTATTTCTGAGAATTTTTCCAGTGGCGATTTGGGAAGGAACTGTTTCATCTACAACCATACATTGCAAGTATTGATCAAGGAAAAATTTATTTACAGAGATTTTTCAAATACAAACATGAAATAGCACATATTATATATATATATTTTACAAAAAATGAATATTGAAATAATAAACATGGTACAGCACAATACAACATCAATGAGCTAAACATAACAGCAACAGAAATCTATGTCTGGAAGAAGTTTGCTGTTAGTTGTACATAACCAACAGAGCTCTACAGTACCGTGAGTAGAATTTCCAATGGACGGGAAAACGTCCATTTACTGCATTTCATAAAAGGTACTATAGTAAGGGTACATATGCCAAGTAATTATGTTGCATTTTGTAATAATGCTGAAAACACAGAGTCTTAATAAAAGTTACATAGGGCTGAATAAGCAGTGGATAAATGTTTGGGGAAGAAAAATGTGTAGAGATTATACAAAATACTGATAAAGTGGCTTATTGGTCCTTTTTATTAAGTTTTAATGTATAGATTAAAAAAGAATCGCACCAAAAAAAAGTTTCCCCCCTACTTGTTTTGTGCCATGGTCAACATCTGTGCGTGCGTGTGTGCTTTTGGGAGCGCCGCACTGAGGGGCTGCCAGGCGCTACCCCAGCACGTGGGCGCTGCCACCCCTCACCAGGCTGTCCTGTAATTGGTGCATGCAGAATTTCACCATTTGCCAAAGCAGAGTTTTCCTTGCTTATATTTTTGTGGAGCAGACCCTGAGCAGGCTCGGGTGAGAGAGCCAGTCCCTGCCCAGCCCGGCCGGGTGGCTTTGCACCACTCTTCACCTCCCTGCCACCCTGGGGCCGCCCGCCGTCCTGCTCCTGAGAGAAAGCACTTGAAAATTCCTTGTCCGTGGTTGTTGTCCAGCAGACCTGGGCGAGCCTGGCAGGGCCCTTGCCCGGGGCCGGCTCAGTAGGGGTATTGCTTCTGCTTCTTGCCCGAGAAGCAGGCGAGCCAGGTGCACACCAGCATGGCGGCCGCCGCGCCCCCGCCCGTGCAGTAGTAGGCCCAGCCGATGTGGCAGGTCCCTGCAAGGCAAACACCGGGACAAGGGTCAGCGTTACAAGGGGGGAAAAACGCCGCTGCCACCACCCTCCCCTTCTGCCTGCCCAGGAAAACACTTTTCCAAGATTTCAGCCCATTTGTATGCCCACCTCTGACAGGGAATGCAGGGCATAATTCAGGCTTTGCCACTGCAGTGGGGGAGTTGGAAGCTGGATGCGGCTGAGAACTGCTGGGTGACCATAACCCAGGGCATGGGGACCTGCTCACATCCCCTCACACAGGCATCGACCCTGACCATCCCCAAAGGAGCACAGCATAAGGGGATCACCTGTATGGGGGCTGCTGGGGGAATGGAAGCACAAAGACCAGAAATAAAAAAATAGACAAATTTCCCTATCCCCCACCTGAGGTCACAACTGAAAAAATTCACTGATCTTCTGTCACTGATCTTCTGTCAATGAGCGTCACAATATGGCTTTCAATAATTTAAAGACCTCAGTATCTTTATCAAACTCATCAACAGTAAATGGTGCTGGGGAATCCCATAGTGGACCATAAAGTGATTACTTCCCTTTCAGGCACTGTGCCTGCAGTAGGGGAGGATATCAGGAAAATAGCAGCTGCAGCAGGGAGGAAGCCTCTTTAGAGATCTCCAAAAGCAAGGAGATAGCTGCTACTACTCCTCAGGATTTCAACCCATCTCAAAAGCTATTTTCACTTGGGCTGCATTATCTTTGTCTTTTTTGGGTGCTTGGGATTTGTTAGCACTGAGGTTTTTTCTGTGTTGTGGACACCTCAGGTGATATCACCCTGCTTTGAGCAGTGAGTGCTCTCAGTAAGACACAAGCAGCAATGCAACACTTCTTTCCCAACCTTCCCAAAAGCAGTAGAAACCATTCTTCCCTTCAGAGAACAGAAGGTATCAGCGGAGTTTGCATCTAGAAATAGGTGTTATGCTGGTATTCTGTCCCAATGGCATCCCCAAGGGCCAGGTTTGAGGTCCAGGCAATTATCAACTCAGCTAATCCTGCCTCAGGCACAAGAAACACAAAATGTCTGTTCATCTTAACATGTCCAAGGCATTCGCACGCCTCAAGTCAGACAGCACCACCACTGCAGGATATTGTCTGGCAGGCTTTTTAAGGAGACATTAGTGGGAAGCAACACTTATGCTCCTGGTCACTTTGGAGATCTCGAGCTGACACCACAGCAGGAAGCATAATACTTGTTTAATTTTTTTTATTCTTTGTAACCCTCACAAAATTTTATTTTCAAAATGTCCAGTGAAACAAAGATCCTGATGTGACCAAGAGGACTTGAGGACTTGTGGCCCTGGCTTGAGCACACTAGCCTCTCTCCTTAATGTGCTGGAGCAGACAGAGAGATTTACTTGGTTTTGCCATCTAGTTGTGCCCTGTAGATAGCACCATTCTTGCCTTCCTTACAAAAGACTGCACAGAGAGTCTGACTTCCTGAAGAAAAGGCCATCAGAAACCCTGGAGAGCTGTCAAGTGCCTGGCAATGCCCCTGATGCTGACACTTGCCCAATCACTCACAGTCCAAGGAGATACCTGTCTCTGGGCCACCAATTGCTTTGGCTGTGTACACACCCTGTCCTTAGCTCCTGCTGGGAATTTTAAAAACAGACTTATACCAGATGTTTAAAATCACTGGATTGCTTTGAAAATTATCATGTTTATCCAGAGTAGGGTGTGCTACAGCATTTCTCATGATGAGATGGACTTCATCTGATAGGTCTTTTTAAATTGTGAAATATTCCAAAAAAGTACTAGAGAAGTGTAGCTGCAGCTTGAAAAAGTAAATTTTTCTCATCATGATGTTTCCAGGTAGAGAAAATGTCAAAATACTATTTTAAAAAGAGCTTGAAGATTCACCTGGTGGCACTGCCCAAAGGTATAACCTAAGCAGGACAGAATGAAGTAAATTTGACCTTTTTATATGGTTTGATTTCAGCTTTTGTACCTCGGCAGTGGGAGGGAGTATGTGTGTACATATTAAGAAGAAAGAATTGTTAAATCAGTGCCAGAGATGTATTCAACAGATACAACACACACATTCACTCTTGGCTGAAGAGAATAACATTTATTTCTCCAGACCATGATCCATTCCCCAAGGAAAGGACCCAAAGGACCACTGCCCTGCTTAATGTTCTGAGGCACAACAGGCAGGCAGCCTCTTGATCTAACAAATGCAATGTAGTTCACAAGTGTGAGTTGGGTCAAGATGAACAAATGAAAGAATGGGAGAGCAGGAGAATGGATGAAAGAGCTGGGAGCTTGACCTTAGAGCAATAATAACACAGCAATAAACCTGGCCATTATTTCCAGCCCATGTCAAGAGCAATGGGAGGCCTTGGAAAGAACAGCTTGATCCGTACTTGGATGATGCTGAGCAGAACAGAATTTCAAGCTGTTGTGCTGAAAAAGAGCCTGCAGCAGGGCAGGTGTCTGAGGGTACAGGACTTAGCTATACTTCTCATTGCAAGTTTAGTTAAGGATAGATAAAGGACCAGAGATAATCCATCTCAAAGGTACCCATTGCAATGAATGCCTACATTGCATAGCCATGTGTCAAAATGAAACAATGACAGGTATTTTATAACCCTATATTACACAAGGGGGAAAACATTTTTGAGTTATTGTTTCTGTTTTGGTGTTCTCATTTTGGCCTATTTTAATCTACTGCATCCTGAAGAAAGATTGTTGGTTATCAATAATTGGGTAATTTAGTTGCAGTTTAAATCGTAAAATGACTTCTGCTTCACATTGATATAAAACACTCATTTTAAAAGGAACAGAAAGCTTTATAAAAAGCAGAGTTGAGAAACTATTACTGCACTGAGACCAGCAGGACTAGTCATGTTTCAGTGGTAAGCAAATGTTGAAGAGATTTGCAGAACTGGGGCTTAAATTCAACCATCAAATAGAGCAGTTTGCCTTCATGGAGCCTGTCATATAAAAGATTAGATATCAAGTACTGCAGTTTCCCTTTTTTTTTTTATGTCAAAGTTCTAAAATGAGAAGCATCTCTACCTAAATACTTGATAGAATTAAAGAGTTGTTGAAAGCATGTCAATTTTCACACACACAAAAAGGCACAAAAGTTTTGTTGTTTCTCTGAAAGATACATTGGAATACGCACATATATATATATATAGGCAGAGGAGTCCCCATCCATTGAGGGTGTGGAGGTGCAAGCAACAATGTGCACATGTTCTTGCTCCTAAGATGGGCTAGATCGGAGTTTGTGCAAAGTAAATTCCCAGCAGCTGAAGTGCTCTTCTAGCTGATAGAGATGACAAGCATCACAGCAGCTTGCTTCTCTGCACAGAACTGGTGTTGTTTTAACAAATCAGTCTTCACCTGACAGGTCAGTATTAGGGAGAAGCTGTGGCTTCAGCGCTTCAGCACTTTGTTAATTCTAGTTGTTTTTTGGTTTTTTTTAATATTTTTTTAAGAGAACATAAATAATTGGAGCTCTTGGTTGTTCTGTGAAGCAGGACTGTCCAAGTTGGCTCCAATAAGTTTGTAGCCAGCCATTAAGAACTTTGTTTTCACCTTTGTTTTACTGGGATTGGCAGCAAGAGAGTGTCAGGATGAGCACTGAAGTAACAGAATTATGGAGCTTGCAGCTATAGGCATAGATGGCCATTTTCCAAGCAAATAAAGGAATGAAAGACTGGAAACATTCCACTCTTTCTTAAGAGGATTGAGAAAAATCATGGTCTCTGAGGACAGAGGACAAAAATTATGGAGAGCAAGGACACTATGAAAAGAAAATTTACAGAAAAGAGTCCCATGGAACATAAGACAGCATTTACTAAACTAAAAGAAATCAGTAAATGTGGAAAGGTAGTTTTGCAGTGATGAATGGGCTTACTAAAAAAGCAATTCCATGTCTTTTCCTGATTTCTAATGTGATCCTCAAGGGCAGGATATGCATCCCCTTTCTTCCCTGCTCTGCTTGAATATACAGGCAAATAAAGATTAAGACAAATTTGGGAGTGAGTAAAATTTGGCAACAGAAAATACATAGATACTTGATCTACCATGGAGCTGTGCCAGGATCCAGTTGCCAGAACATAATTTTACCAGGATTTCTATTCATGATATCTTATAAATAATTATCACATATAGTTATCAAGGTCTTGGAAATAACATATGGTTTCATCTAAAATAACCAATAATTGCCACTTATGAAAAAATATCCTGAATATCAAAGTGTCTTGGATGCAAACCTGTTAATTGCAAGATTTAGAATCTTAAATATTTGTACCTTTTTTGCTGTTAATTTTAAGACTATCCTGGACTAGCAGTCTGGAGTATTTGGCAAACTCTAATCAATTAACCTTAAGTACAGCCTATTTTCCAAGTTGAAGGAAAAAAGGTTTCAGAATTAGCCAGACTGTAGAGAACAAATTACATACCTTCAAAAATAAAACCTATAATTCCTACTTCCAAGAAGTTGTGCAGGAATTCTAATTAACAGATTCACATGAGAGTACAGTACTATAGAGAATGTAAATTCACATAATCAATCAGGGTGTTGGAAAAGTAGTCAGAAAAAATTAAAAAAGAAAAAAGCGTGATGCTAAGGTATATACTGGGATTTGGAAATGTGAAAGACATAAATGAATGTAAAAGATAATCAGCTAATTAATAAGAAGTTAAACCTATTTTGAAACAAAGCCAAGATAAATTAAATAGCTGAAGATCTTTTTCTTGACACAGTAACAATGAAAAACTGTCATGTGAAATCAGCTGCAAAATCAGGAAAATAATTTGAAACTTGGAATGCATCCAGAAAGAATTAAAGTAGTTATGTGAAACAAAGAAAGAACACTATATAAGGTAAAACTGAGCCCAGCAAACAGCCTGATACAAAATAATGAATTCAGTGGAGCTGATTACTTTTTCTTTTGCAGATACGACCTTCTCAATAGATTTATCTTTTTTAAAAATATTTGACTTTTTTAATGCATGTATATTTTTTTCAAGCTATT